GGTGAGTCTGCTCTCTCAGGTACCGCGTCGGCTTCGGCCTCCCTCACCTTCACTCTTGACTCTGGGGCGTCTCGCTCCTTCTTTCGGGACCGCACCACACTCACGCCGCTTAGTCGGCCGGTTGCGGTGTCTCTGGCTGACCCCTCTGGGGGTCCGGTCCTGTCTCGTTTCTCCACAGTCCTCCCGTGTCCGGCGGCTCTCTCTGGCACCCTGTCTGGTCTCTACCTCCCCTCGTTCTCGACGAACCTGGTGAGTGGTGCTGACCTACAGGATGCGGGTGTCCACCAGTTCACTCCTGCACGTCAGCGAGTGACCCACTGTACAGAGGCTGGCACAGGCCGACACCTGGCTACGTTCACCCGTCAGCCGGGGTCGAGCCTGTACACTCTGACCACTGCGTCTCCTCCAGTTGCTGAGTCTGGTAGGGTAGTTACGTCGGGTCAGGTGTTTGCTGCGGCGTCCAGGTCTGGTCCTGAGTCTGCCCCCTGTTCGTGTCGTCTCCTGTCTCACGAGACTCTCCTCTGGCACCACCGCCTTGGCCACCCCTCTCTGCTTCGGCTCAGAGGTATGGCCTCCCGTCTTCTTGTGTCCGGTCTCCCCCGGTCCCTCCCTCCCCTTCCTCAGGGCCCTGGCCCTGCCTGTGTCCCCTGTGTCGAGGGGCGCCAGCGTGCTGCCCCTCACTCCTCCCAGTTTCCTTCAACAGAGGCCCCGTTGCAGACACTTCACATGGACGTGTGGGGCCCAGCCCGCGTCCGTGGACAGGGTCACGAGCGCTACTTCCTGCTCGTTGTTGACGACTACTCGCGTTACACCACAGTCTTCCCCTTGCGCAGCAAGGGTGATGTCACTGAGGTGCTGATCGACTGGATCCGCGCAGCTCGTCTCCAGCTCAGGCAGAGCTTCGGCTCGGACTTTCCTGTTCTGCGTCTGCACTCGGACAGAGGCGGAGAGTTCTCCTCTGGCCTTCTGCGTGTCTACTGTCGTGCACGGGGCATCCGTCAGACCTTCACGCTTCCGGACTCACCGCAGCAAAATGGGATTGCTGAGCGCCGCATTGGCATGGTCATGGACGTCGCTCGTACGTCTATGATGCATGCGGCTGCCCCCCATTTTCTGTGGCCGTTTGCGGTGAGGTACGCGGCGCATCAGATCAACCTCCACCCCAGGGTCTCCAGGCCGGAGACCTCCCCAGCCTTGCTGTGGACGGGGAAGGTTGGCGATGCGTCGGCGTTCCGGGTCTGGGGATCTCGGGCGTTTGTCCGCGACCTGTCTGCGGACAAACTATCCCCTCGTGCTGCTCCTTGCGTCTTCCTGGGGTTCCCCCCTGACGCGCCTGGGTGGCAGTTTTACCACCCCACCTCTCGCCGTGTTCTGTCCTCCCAGGACGTCACGTTTGACGAGTCGGTCCCCTACTACCGCCTCTTCTCCTACCGCACTCCGTCCCTCCCCCCACCCCCACTCTTCCTGGTACCAGGTCCCCCCCAGGTAGACCCCCTCCCCCCTCAGGGTCCTGCCCCTTCAGGTGTGTCCCAGGTAGACGCAGTCGAGCCTGTCGAGGTCACTGGTGACTCTGGTGCTGCTGAGGGTGCTGAGGCTGGGGGTGCTGTACCTGGGGGTGCGGAGCCTAGGGGTGCTGGGCCTGGGGGTGCTACGTCTGTGGGTGCTGAGCCTAGGGGTGCTGAGCCTAGGGGTGCTGAGCCTGGGGGTGCTGAGCCTGGGGGTGCTGAGCCTAGGGGTGCTGAGCCTGGGGGTGCTGAGCCTAGGGGTGCTGAGCCTGGGGGTGCTACGTCTGGGGGTGCTGAGCCTAGGGGTGCTACGCCTGGGGGTGCTGAGCCTGGAGGTGCTCCGCCTGGAGGTTCTCCGAGTGCTTCGTCTCGCCGGGAGCCACTTTCTCCACAGGAGCTGCGTGAGTGGTTTGCCCGGCGCTGGAGGCGTGCTGCTGGTGCTGGAGGTCCTTCGGCTGCTGAGGGTGCTGCGGTCGCGGGTCCCGGAGGTGCTCGTCCTGGGTGCACTGGAGCTGGTGCTGCTGAGGGTGTTGGCGCTGAGACTACCGCTGGCAGTCCTACTGGGGGTGCTCCTGGTGCTGCTGGAGGTTCTGGAGCTACTGGTGGTGCTGCTGGAGCGGGTGCTCCTGCTGAGGGTTCTGGTGCTGTCCCTGCTGCTTCTAGCGTCGCCGCGCGGCCTCGACCGTACTTCGTTCCACTCCTGCAGCAGGTTCTTGGTCTTCCACCTTCTACTGGTCCTCCTCCTCCCTTAGAGTGTCCACAGCCTGTCTCGTCCCAGCTACAGTTGCAGCCTACCTCCCCTTTGCCTGCTCCTTCTCCCTACACTGGTCCTACTGGAGGTCTGGCTGAGCGTCGTGAGCCTGCGTCTCGCCCTGCGTCGCCTGTCCGTGCTGCTCGCACTAGTGGTCGCGGTTCGCGTCAGCGTCCTCCTCCTGTCCCTGGCACGCACCGGATGTCTCTGCGTCCGTCCACTGCTCCTCTGCGTGCCCCTTTGCCTTCTCCTCCTGAGTCCTCTCTTCCTGCTCTTGCCGACCCGGAGTCGGACTCTCTTCGTGCTGCCAGTCCTACTGTCACGCGTCTCCTTGCTACTGTTGTCACTGACCCTTCTTTTGAGTCTACTGCTGCGTCTGCTCTCGTTACTGAGCTCGTCGACTTTGCTGCTCGCTGTCGCTTAGACTACGCTGCTAGTCTTGTCGCTGAGTCTGAGTCTGTCTGTCCTCCGTCCGTCGGGGGTGAGTGTGCCCTTGGCACGGACGTCCTTGAGGACAGGCAGGAGGAGTTCCAGTGTCTGGCAGCTGCCTCACCTCATCTCGTGTCCGTACTGCTTACCCCTGAGGGAGACCCGGATGCACTTGACATCCCGACTCCGCGCTCTTACGCGGAGGCGATAGAGGGTCCCTACTCCTCTCAGTGGCAGGCAGCTATGGATGCAGAGATGGCTTCCTGGAAGTCCACAGGCACCTACGTTGACGCTGTCCCCCCTCCTGGGGCGAACATCGTCAGTGGCATGTGGATCTTCAGGGTGAAGCGGCCGCCGGGTTCTCCGCCTGTCTTCAAGGCGCGTTACGTGGCTCGTGGCTTCAGTCAGAGGCAGGGAGTTGACTACTTTCAGACCTTCTCCCCCACCCCGAAGATGACCACTCTTCGGGTACTGCTGCACGTTGCTGCTCACCGTGACTACGAGCTGCACTCTCTTGACTTCAGCACAGCTTTCTTGCAGGGCAGCCTGCACGAGGAGATCTGGCTGCGTCGCCCACCTGGCTTCACTGGGTCTTTCCCTCCTGGTACCCAGTGGAGTCTCCGGCGTCCAGTCTACGGTCTCCGCCAGGCGCCACGTGAGTGGCACGACACACTGAGGACTACGCTTGCGGCTCTTGGGTTTGCTCCTTCTACTGCCGACCCGTCGCTGTTTCTACGCACCGACACCTCTCTGCCGCCGTTCTACATCCTCGTGTACGTCGACGACTTGGTCTTTGCCACAGCTGACACTGCTGGACTCGCCTACGTGAAGTCCGAGCTGCAGAAGAGACACACGTGCACAGACTTGGGTGAACTGCGCAGCTACCTTGGCTTGCAGATCACCCGGGACAGAGCACGCCGCACCATTACCCTGACTCAGTCACACATGGTGCAGCAGGTCCTTCAGCGCTTCGGCTTCACGTACTCCTCGCCTCAGGCCACTCCTCTGTCTACTCGCCACTCGCTCTCAGCTCTGCCTTCGGATGAGTCCGTAGAGTCGAGTGGCCCGTACCCAGAGCTTGTTGGCTGCCTCATGTACCTGATGACCTGCACACGACCTGACCTTGCATACCCTCTTAGCATTCTTGCACGCTATGTTGCTCCTGGGAGACACAGACCAGAGCACATGGCTGCTGCGAAGAGGGTGTTGCGCTACTTGTGCAGTACGTCGGGCATGGGGCTAGTGCTTGGAGGGCGGAGTCCAGTGGTCCTCGCTGGGCACGCGGACGCTTCTTGGGCTGACGACCAGGCTACGCAGCGGTCGTCACAGGGTTACACCTTCAGCCTTGGTTCCGGCTCTGTTTCGTGGCGGGCTACTCGCTCGTCTTCTGTTCTTGGCTCGAGTTGTGAGGCTGAGATCTACGCCGGGGCCATGGCTGCACAGGAGCTTCGCTGGCTCACCTACCTGCTGACCGACCTTGGAGAGCCGCCTCGTTCTCCTCCAGTCCTGTACGTAGACAACAAGGCCATGCTGGCCTTGTGTCGAGAGCAGCGACTGGAGCACAGAACAAAGCACATTGCTCTCCGCTACTTCCTTGCTCGTGAGCTACAGCAACGTGGACAGTTGCGGCTTGCGTACGTGGCCTCTGAGGCCAACACTGCTGATGTCTTCACCAAGGCACTTCCGCCTTGTGATCATCAGCGCTTCTGCACTCAGCTGGGTCTTGTGCCCGTCTTGCCTCACTTGCTCTCCTCTTGACCTTGCTTGTACTCTCACATATATATATACCTGCTCTTGCTTGTCTAGCTTTATATATATGTGTGTACTCTTGCATGTGAACTGGCCGTGTGGCCTTGACCCTGTGCTCGGACTGTGTGGTGACTTTGTGATCCACCCTGAGCTTGCTTTGCTTTGCTTTGCTTGACTGGTCTTGTGACCCCTTGTTCTCCCCCACTTTGCCTATGGGGGTGTGTCAGAACATTGTGGCTTATGCTGTTGTGTAGGCTATAGTGGGGTATCCCATAGGGGGTACAACCAATTAGGGTTTCATATTTGTACTCACTTCATTTCATAGTCCATCCATTCTCGTTCTCATTTTCACAGGGTCGCACGCCAGTCGGGAGAGGGGAGGGCTGTTCTGCGGGTGGGGTCGCACGCCAGCCAGGAGAGGGCTGTGCTGCGGGTGGGGTCGCACGCCAGCAGGGAGAGGGGAGAGCTGTGCTGCGGGTGGGGTCGCACGCCAGCCGGGAGAGGGCTGTGCTGCAGGTGGGGTCGCACGCAAGCCGGGAGAGGGGAGGGCTGTGCTGCGGGTGGGGTCACACGCCAGCCGGGAGAGGGGAGGGCTGTGCTGCGGGTGGGGTCGCACACCAGCCGGGAGAGGGCTGTGCTGCGGGTGGGGTCGCACGCCAGCTGGGAGAAGGGAGGGCTGTGCTGCGGGTGGGGTCGCACACCAGGCGGGAGAGGGGAGATCTGTGCTGCGGGTGGGGTCGCACGCCAGCCAGGAGAGGGGAGGGCTGTGCTGCGGGTGGGGTCGCACGCCAGCCGGGAGAGGGGAGGGCTGTGCTGCGGGTGGGGTCGCACGCCAGCCGAGAGAGGGGAGGGCTGTGCTGCGGGTGGGGTCGCACGCCAGCCGGGAGGAGGGAGGGCTGTGCTGCGGGTTGGGTCGCATGCCTGCCAGGAGAGGGGAGGGCTGTGCTGCAGGTGGGGTCACATGCCAGCCGGGAGAGGGCTGTGCTGCGGGTGGGGTCGCACGCCAGCCGGGAGAGGGATGTGCTGCGGGTGGGGTCGCACGCCAGCCGAGAGAGGGGAGGGCTGTGCTGCGGGTGGGGTCGCACGCCCGCCGGGAGAGGGGAGGGCTGTGCTGCGGGTGGGGTTGCACGCCAGGCGGGAGAGGGCTGTGCTGCAGGTGGGGTCGCACGCCCGCCGGGAGAGGGGAGGGCTGTGCTGCGGATGGGGTCGCACGCCAGCCGGGAGAGGGCTGTGCTGCGGGTGGGGTCGCACGCCCACCGGGAGAGGGGAGGGCTGTGCTGCGGGTGGGGTCGAACGCCAGCCGGGAGAGGGCTGTGCTGCGGGTGGGGTCGCACGCCAGCCGGGAGAGGGGAGGGCTGTGCTGCGGGTGGGGTCGCACGCCAGCCAGGAGAGGGCTGTGCTGCGCGTGGGGTCGCACGCCCGCCGGGAGAGGGGAGGGCGGTGCTGCGGGTGAGGTCGCACGCCAGCCGGGAGAGGGCAGTGCTGCGGGTGGGGTCGCACGCCCGCCATGAGAGGGGAGGGCTGTGTTGCGGGTGGGGTCGCACGCCAGCCGGGAGAGGGCTGTGCTGCGGGTGGGGTAGCACGCCCGCCGGGAGAGGGGAGGGCTGTGCTGCGGGTGGGGTCGCACGCCAGCCGGGAGAGGGCTGTGCTGCGGGTGGGGTCGCACACCCGCCATGAGAGGGGAGGGCTGTGCTGCGGGTGGGGTCGCACGCCAGCCGAGAGAGGGCTGTGCTGCGGGTGGCGTCGCACGCCCGCCGGGAGAGGGGAGGGCTGTGCTGCGGGTGGGGTCGCACGCCCGCCGGGAGAGGGGAGGGCTGTGCTGCGGGTGGGGTCGCACGCCAGCCGGGAGAGGGCTGTGCTGCGGGTGGGGTCGCACGCCCGCCGGGAGAGGGGAGGGCTGTGCTGCGGGTACGGTCGCACGCCAGCCGGGAGAGGGCTGTGCTGCGGGTGGGGTCGCACGCCAGCCGGGAGATGGGAGGGCTGTGCTGCGGGTGGGGTCGCACACCAGCCGGGAGAGGGCTGTAAAGCGGGTGGGGTCGCACGCCAGTCGGGAGAGGGGAGGGCTGTGCTGCGGGTGGGGTCGCACGCCAGCCGGGAGAGGGCTGTGCTGCGGGTGGGGTCGCACGCCAGCAGGGAGAGGGGAGGGCTGTGCTGTGGGTGGGGTCGCACGCCAGCCGGGAGAGGGGAGGGCTGTGCTGCGGGTGGGGTCGCACGCCAGCCGGGAGAGGGGAGGGCTGTGCTGCGGGTGGGGTCGCACGCCAGCCGGGAGAGGGGAGGGCTGTGCTGCGGGTGGGGTCGCACGCCAGCCGGGAGAGGGGAGGGCTGTGCTGCGGGTGGGGTCGCACGCCAGCCGAGAGAGGGGAGGGCTGTTCTGCGGGTGGGGTCGCATGCCAGCCGAGAGAGGGCTGTGCTGCGGGTGGGGTCGCACGCCAGCCGGGAGAGGGCTGTGCTGCGGGTGGGGTCGCACGCCAGCCGAGAGAGGGGAGGGCTGTGCTGCGGGTGGGGTCGCACGCCCGCCGGGAGAGGGGAGGGCTGTGCTGCGGGTGGGGTCGCACTCCAGCCGGGAGAGGGCTGTGCTGCAGGTGGGGTCGCACGCCCACCGGGAGAGGGGAGAGCTGTGCTGCGGGTGGGGTCGCACGCCAGCCGGGAGAGGGCTGTGCTGTGGGTGGTGTCACACGCCCGCCGGGAGAGGGGAGGGTTGTGCTGCGGGTGGGGTCGCACGCCAGCCGGGAGAGGGCTGTGCTGCAGGTGGGGTCGCACGCCCGCCGGGAGAGGGGAGGGCTGTGCTGCGGGTGGGGTCGCACACCAGCCGGGAGAGGGCTGTACTGCGGGTAAGGTCGCACGCCAGCTGGGAGAAGGAAGGGCTGTGCTGCGGGTGGGGTCGCACGCCAGCCGGGAGAGGGGAGGTCTGTGCTGCGGGTGGGGTCGCACTCCAGCCGGGAGAGGGGAGGGCTGTGCTGCGGGTGGGGTCGCACGCCAGCCGGGAGAGGGGAGGGCTGTGCTGCGGGTGGGGTCGCACGCCAGCCGAGAGAGGGAAGGGCTGTGCTGCGGGTGGGGTCGCACGCCAGCCGGGAGAGGGCTGTAAAGCCGGTGGGGTCGCACGCCAGTCGGGAGAGGGGAGGGCTGTGCTGCGGGTGGGGTCGCACGCCAGCCGGGAGAGGGCAGTGCTGCGGGTGGGGTCGCACGCCAGCAGGGAGAGGGGAGGGCTGTGCTGCGGGTGGGGTCGCACGCCAGCCGGGAGAGGGCTGTGCTGCGGGTGGGGTCGCACGCCAGCCGGGAGTGGGGAGGGCTGTGCTGCGGGTGGGGTCACACGCCAGCCGGGAGAGGGGAGGGCTGTGCTGCGGGTGGGGTCGCACACAAGCCGGGAGAGGGGTGTAAAGCGGGTGGGGTCGCACGCCAGCCGGGAGAGGGGAGGGCTGTGCTGCGGGTGGGGTCGCACGCCAGCCGGGAGAGGGCTGTGCTGCGGGTGGGGTCGCACGCCAGACGGGAGAGGGGAGGGCTGTGCTGCGGGTGGGGTCGCATGCCAGCCGGGAGAGGGCTGTAAAGCGGGTGGGGTCGCACGCCCGCCGTGAGAGGGGAGGGCTCTGCTGCGGGTGGGGTCGCACGCCAGTCGGGAGAGGGCTGTGCTGCAGGTGGGGTCGCACGCCCGCCGGGAGAGGGGAGGGCTGTGCTACGGGTGGGGTCGCACACCAGCCGGGAGAGGGCTGTGCTGCGGGTGGGGTCGCACGCCAGCTGGGAGAAGGGAGGGCTGTGCTGCGGGTGGGGTCGCACGCCAGCTGGGAGAGGGGAGGTCTGTGCTGCGGGTGGGGTCGCACGCCAGCCGGGAGAGGGGAGGGCTGTGCTGCGGGTGGGGTCGCACGCCAGCCGGGAGAGGGGAGGGCTGTGCTGCGGGTGGGGTCGCACGCCAGCCGGGAGAGGGGAGGGCTGTGCTGCGGGTGGGGTCGCACGCCAGCCGGGAGGAGGGAGGGCTGTGCTGCGGTGGGGTTGCATGCCAGACGAGAGAGGGCTGTGCTGCGGGTGGGGTCGCACGCCAGCCAGGAGAGGGCTGTGCTGCGGGTGGGGTCGCACGCCAGCCGAGAGAGGGGAGGGCTGTGCTGCGGGTGGGGTCGCACGCCCGCCGGGAGAGGGGAGGGCTGTGCTGCGGGTGGGGTCGCACGCCCGCCGGGAGAGGGGAGGGCTGTGCTGCGGGTGGGGTCGCACGCCAGCCGGGAGAGGGCTGTGCTGTGGGTGGTGTCGCAAGCCCGCCGGGAGAGGGGAGGGTTGTGCTGCGGGTGGGGTCGCACGCCAGCCGGGAGAGGGCTGTGCTGCAGGTGGGGTCGCACGCCCGCCGGGAGAGGGGAGGGCTGTGCTGCGGGTGGGGTCGCACACCAGCCGGGAGAGGGCTGTGCTGCGGGTGGGGTCGCACGCCCGCCGGGAGAGGGGAGGGTTGTGCTGCGGGTGGGGTCACACGCCAGCCAGGAGAGGGCTGTGCTGCGGGTGGGGTCGCACGCCAGCCAGGAGAGGGCTGTGCTGCGGGTGGGGTCGCACGCCCGCCGGGAGAGGGGAGGGCGGTGCTGCGGGTGGGGTCGCACGCCAGCCGGGAGAGCGCTGTGCTGCGGGTGGGGTCGCACGCCCGCCGGGAGAGAGGAGGGCGGTGCTGCGGGTGGGGTCGCACGCCAGCCGGGAGAGCGCTGTGCTGCGGCTGGGGTCGCACGCCCGCCGTGAGAGGGGAGGGCTGTGCTGCGGGTGGGGTCGCATGCCAGACGAGAGAGGGCTGTGCTGCGGGTGGGGTCGCACGCCAGCCGGGAGAGGGCTGTGCTGCGGGTGGGGTCGCACGCCAGCCGAGAGAGGGGAGGGCTGTGCTGCGGGTGGGGTCGCACGCCCGCCGGGAGAGGGGAGGGCTGTGCTGCGGGTGGGGTCGCACTCCAGCCGGGAGAGGGGAGGGCTGTGCTGCAGGTGGGGTCGCACGCCAGCCGGGAGAGGGCTGTGCTGTGGGTGGTGTCGCACGCCCGCCGGGAGAGGGGAGGGTTGTGCTGCGGGTGGGGTCGCACGCCAGCCGGGAGAGGGCTGTGCTGCAGGTGGGGTCGCACGCCCGCCGGGAGAGGGGAGGGCTGTGCTGCGGGTGGGGTCGCACACCAGCCTGGAGAGGGCTGTGCTGCGGGTAAGGTCGCACGCCAGCTGGGAGAAGGAAGGGCTGTGCTGCGGGTGGGGTCGCACGCCAGCCGGGAGAGGGGAGGGCTGTGCTGCGGGTGGGGTCGCACGCCAGCCGGGAGAGGGCTGTGCTGCGGGTGGGGTCGCACGCCAGCCGGGAGTGGGGAGGGCTGTGCTGCGGGTGGGGTCACACGCCAGCCGGGAGAGGGGAGGGCTGTGCTGCGGGTGGGGTCGCACACAAGCCGGGAGAGGGGTGTAAAGCGGGTGGGGTCGCACGCCAGCCGGGAGAGGGGAGGGCTGTGCTGCGGGTGGGGTCGCACGCCAGCCGGGAGAGGGCTGTGCTGCGGGTGGGGTCGCACGCCAGACGGGAGAGGGGAGGGCTGTGCTGCGGGTGGGGTCGCATGCCAGCCGGGAGAGGGCTGTAAAGCGGGTGGGGTCGCACGCCCGCCGTGAGAGGGGAGGGCTCTGCTGCGGGTGGGGTCGCACGCCAGCCGGGAGAGGGCTGTGCTGCAGGTGGGGTCGCACGCCCGCCGGGAGAGGGGAGGGCTGTGCTACGGGTGGGGTCGCACACCAGCCGGGAGAGGGCTGTGCTGCGGGTGGGGTCGCACGCCAGCTGGGAGAAGGGAGGGCTGTGCTGCGGGTGGGGTCGCACGCCAGCTGGGAGAGGGGAGGTCTGTGCTGCGGGTGGGGTCGCACGCCAGCCGGGAGAGGGGAGGGCTGTGCTGCGGGTGGGGTCGCACGCCAGCCGGGAGAGGGGAGGGCTGTGCTGCGGGTGGGGTCGCACGCCAGCCGGGAGAGGGGAGGGCTGTGCTGCGGGTGGGGTCGCACGCCAGCCGGGAGGAGGGAGGGCTGTGCTGCGGTGGGGTTGCATGCCAGACGAGAGAGGGCTGTGCTGCGGGTGGGGTCGCACGCCAGCCAGGAGAGGGCTGTGCTGCGGGTGGGGTCGCACGCCAGCCGAGAGAGGGGAGGGCTGTGCTGCGGGTGGGGGTCGCACGCCCGCCGGGAGAGGGGAGGGCTGTGCTGCGGGTGGGGTCGCACGCCCGCCGGGAGAGGGGAGGGCTGTGCTGCGGGTGGGGTCGCACGCCAGCCGGGAGAGGGCTGTGCTGTGGGTGGTGTCGCAAGCCCGCCGGGAGAGGGGAGGGTTGTGCTGCGGGTGGGGTCGCACGCCAGCCGGGAGAGGGCTGTGCTGCAGGTGGGGTCGCACGCCCGCCGGGAGAGGGGAGGGCTGTGCTGCGGGTGGGGTCGCACACCAGCCGGGAGAGGGCTGTGCTGCGGGTGGGGTCGCACGCCCGCCGGGAGAGGGGAGGGTTGTGCTGCGGGTGGGGTCACACGCCAGCCAGGAGAGGGCTGTGCTGCGGGTGGGGTCGCACGCCAGCCAGGAGAGGGCTGTGCTGCGGGTGGGGTCGCACGCCCGCCGGGAGAGGGGAGGGCGGTGCTGCGGGTGGGGTCGCACGCCAGCCGGGAGAGCGCTGTGCTGCGGGTGGGGTCGCACGCCCGCCGGGAGAGAGGAGGGCGGTGCTGCGGGTGGGGTCGCACGCCAGCCGGGAGAGCGCTGTGCTGCGGCTGGGGTCGCACGCCCGCCGTGAGAGGGGAGGGCTGTGCTGCGGGTGGGGTCGCATGCCAGACGAGAGAGGGCTGTGCTGCGGGTGGGGTCGCACGCCAGCCGGGAGAGGGCTGTGCTGCGGGTGGGGTCGCACGCCAGCCGAGAGAGGGGAGGGCTGTGCTGCGGGTGGGGTCGCACGCCCGCCGGGAGAGGGGAGGGCTGTGCTGCGGGTGGGGTCGCACTCCAGCCGGGAGAGGGGAGGGCTGTGCTGCAGGTGGGGTCGCACGCCAGCCGGGAGAGGGCTGTGCTGTGGGTGGTGTCGCACGCCCGCCGGGAGAGGGGAGGGTTGTGCTGCGGGTGGGGTCGCACGCCAGCCGGGAGAGGGCTGTGCTGCAGGTGGGGTCGCACGCCCGCCGGGAGAGGGGAGGGCTGTGCTGCGGGTGGGGTCGCACACCAGCCTGGAGAGGGCTGTGCTGCGGGTAAGGTCGCACGCCAGCTGGGAGAAGGAAGGGCTGTGCTGCGGGTGGGGTCGCACGCCAGCCGGGAGAGGGGAGGTCTGTGCTGCGGGTGGGGTCGCACGCCAGCCGGGAGAGGGGAGGGCTGTGCTGCGGGTGGGGTCGCACGCCAGCCGGGAGAGGGGAGGGCTGTGCTGCGGGTGGGGTCGCACGCCAGCCGAGAGAGGGAAGGGCTTTGCTGCGGGTGGGGTCGCACGCCAGCCGGGGGGAGGGAGGGCTGTGCTGCGGGTGGGGTCGCATGCCAGCCGAGAGAGGGCTGTGCTGCGGGTGGGGTCGCACGCCAGCCGGGAGAGGGCTGTGCTGCGGGTGGGGTCCCACGCCAGGTGAGAGAGGGGAGGGCTGTGCTGCGGGTGGGGTCGCACGCCCGCCGGGAGAAAGGAGGGCTGTGCTGCGGGTGGGGTCGCACGCCAGCCGGGAGAGGGCTGTGCTGCAGGTGGGTTCGCACGCCCACCGGGAGAGGGGAGGGCTGTGCTGCGGGTGGGGTCGCACGCCAGCCGGGAGAGGGCTGTGCTGTGGGTGGTGTCGCACGCCCGCCGGGAGAGGGGAGGGTTGTGCTGCGGGTGGGGTCGCACGCCAGCCGGGAGAGGGCTGTGCTGCGGGTGGGGTCGCACGCCAGCCAGGAGAGGGCTGTGCTGCGGGTGGGGTCGCACGCCCGCCGGGAGAGGGGAGGGCGGTGCTGCGGGTGGGGTCGCACGCCAGCCGGGAGAGCGCTGTGCTGCGGGTGGGGTCGCACGCCCGCCGTGAGAGGGGAGGGCTGTGCTGCGGGTGGGGTCGCACGCCAGCTGGGAGAGGGCTGTGCTGCGGGTGGGGTCGCACGCCCGCCGGGAGAGGGGAGGGCTGTGCTGCGGGTGGGGTCGCACGCCAGCCGGGAGAGGGCTGTGCTGCGGGTGGGGTCGCACGCCCGCCGGGAGAGGGGAGGGCTGTGCTGCGGGTGGGGTTGCACGCCAGCCGGGAGAGGGCTGGACTGCGGGTGGGGTCGCACACCCGCCGGGAGAGGGGAGGGCTGTGCTGCGGGTGGGGTCGCACGCCAGCCGGGAGAGGGCTGTGCTGCGGGTGGCGTCGCACGCCAGCCGGGAGAGGGCTGTGCTGCGGGTGGGGTCGCACGCCAGCCGGGAGAGGGCTGTGCTGCGGGTGGGGTCGCACGCCAGCCGGGAGAGGGGAGGGCTGTGCTGCGGGTGGGGTCGCACGCCAGCCGGGAGAGGGCTGTGCTGCGGGTGTTGTTGCACGCCAGCCGGGAGAGGGGAGGGCTGTGCTGCGGGTGGGGTCACACGCCAGCCGGGAGAGGGGAGGACTGTGCTGCGGGTGGGGTCGCACACCAGCCGGGAGAGGGCTGTGCTGCGGGTGGGGTCGCATGCCAGCTGGGAGAAGGGAGGGATGTGCGACGAGTGGGGTCACACGCCAGCCGGGAGAGGGGAGGCCTGTGCTGCGGGTGGGGTCGCACGCCAGCCGGGAGAGGGGAGGGCTGTGCTGCGGGTGGGGTCGCACGCCAGCCGGGAGAGGGGAGGGCTGTGCTGCGGGTGGGGTCACATGCCAGCCGGGAGAGGGCTGTGCTGCGGGTGGGGTCGCACGCCAGCCGGGAGAGGGGAGGGCTGTGCTGCGGGTGGGGTCGCACGCCAGCCGGGAGAGGGCTGTGCTGCGAGTGGGGTCGCACGCCAGCCGTGAGAGGGGAGGTCTGTGCTGCAGGTGGGGTCGCACGCCTGCCGGGAGAGGGGAGGGCTGTGCTGCGGGTGGGGTCGCACGCCAGCCGGGAGAGGGCTGTGCTGCGGGTGGGGTTGCATGCCAGCCGGGAGAGGGGAGGGCTGTGATGCACGTGGGTTGGCATGCCCGCCGGGAGAGGGGAGGGCTGTGCTGCGGGTGGGGTCGCACGCCAGCCGGGAGAGGGCTGTGCTGCAGGTGGGGTCGCACTCCCGCCGGGAGAGGGGAGGGCTGTGCTGCGGGTGGGGTCGAAGGCCAGCCGGGGGAGGGCTGTGCTGCGGGTGGGGTCGCACGCCAGCCGGGAGAGGGCTGTGCTGCGGGTGGGGTCGCACGCCAACTGGGAGAGGGGAGGGCTGTGCTGCGGGTGGGGTCGCACACCAGCCGGGAGAGGGCTGTAAAGCGGATGGGGTCGCACGCCAGCCGGGAGAGGGGAGGGCTGTTCTGCGGGTGGGGTCGCACGCCTGCCGGGAGAGGGGAGGGCTGTGCTGCGGGTGGGGTCGCACGCCAGCCGGAAGAGGGCTGTGCTGCGGGTGGGGTCTCACGCCCGCGGTGAGAGGGGAGGGCTGTGCTGCGGGTGGGGTCGCACGCCAGCCGGGAGAGGGCTGTGCTGCGGGTCGGGTCGCACGCCAGCAGGGAGAGGGGAGGGCTGTGCTGCGGGTGGGGTCGCACGCCAGCCGGGAGAGGGCTGTGCTGCGGGTGTTGTCGCACGTCAGCCGGGAGAGGGAAGGGCTGTGCTGCGGGTGGGGTCGCACTCCCGCCGGGAGAGGGGAGGGCTGTGCTGCGGGTGGGGTCGCACGCCAGCCGGGGGAGGGCTGTGCTGCGGGTGGGGTCGCACGCCAGCCGGGAGAGGGCTGAGCTGCGGGTCGGGTCTCACGCCCGTCGGGAGAGGGGAGGGCTGTGCTGCGGGTGGGGTCGCACGCCAGCCAGGAGAGGGGAGGGCTGTGCTGCGGGTGGGGTCGCACGCAGGCCAGGAGAGGGGAGGGCTGTGCTGCGGGTGGGGTCGCACGCCCGCCGGGAGAGGGGAGGGCTGTGCTGCGGGTGGGGTCGCACGCCAGCCGGGAGAGGGCTGTGCTGCGGGTGGGGTCACACGCCCGCCGGGAGAGGGGAGGGCTGTGCTGCGGGTGGGGTCGCACGCCAGCCGGGAGAGGGGAGGGCTGTGCTGCGGGTGGGGTCGCACGCCAGCCGGGAGAGTGCTGTGCTGCGGGTGGGGTCGCACGCCAACTGGGAGAGGGGAGGGCTGTGCTGCGGGTGGGGTCGCACACCAGCCGGGAGAGGGCTGTAAAGCGGATGGGGTCGCACGCCAGCCGGGAGAGGGGAGGGCTGTGCTGCGGGTGGGGTCGCACGCCAGCCGGGAGAAGGCTGTAAAGCGGGTGGGGTCGCACGCCAGTCGGGAGAGGGGAGGGCTGTGCTGCGGGTGGGGTCCCACGCCAGCCGGGAGAGGGCTGTGCTGCGGGTCGGGTCGCACGCCAGCAGGGAGAGGGGAGGGCTGTGCTGCGGGTGGGGGTCGCACGCCAGCCGGGAGAGGGCTGTGCTGCGGGTGTTGTCGCACGTCAGCCGGGAGAGGGAAGGGCTGTGCTGCGGGTGGGGTCACACGCCAGCCGGGAGAGGGCTGTGCCGCGGGTCGGGTCGCACGCCAGCAGGGAGAGGGGAGGGCTGTGCTGCGGGTGGGGTCGCACGCCAGCCGGGAGAGGGCTGTGCTGCGGGTGTTGTCGCACGTCAGCCGGGAGAGGGAAGGGCTGTGCTGCGGGTGGGGTCACACGCCAGCCGTGAGAGGGGAGGGCTGTGCTGCGGGTGGGGTCGCACGCCAGCCGGGAGAGGGCTGTAAAGCGGGTGGGGTCGCACGCCAGTCGGGAGAGGGGAGGGCTGTGCTGCGGGTACGGTCGCACGCCAGCCGGGAGAGGGCTATGCTGCTGGTTGTGTCGCACGCCAGCAGGGAGAGGGGAGGGCTGTGCTGCGGGTGGGGTCGCACGCCAGCCGGGAGAGGGCTGTGCTGCGGGTGTTGTCGCACACCAGCCGGGAGAGGGGAGGGCTGTGCTGCGGGTGGGGTCACACGCCAGCCGGGAGAGGGGAGGGCTGTGCTGCGGGTGGGGTCACACGCCAGCCGGGAGAGGGGAGGGCTGTGCTGCGGGTGGGGTCGCACACCAGCCAGGAGAGGGCTGTGCTGCGGGTGGGGTCGCACGCCAGCTGGGAGAAGGGAGGGCTGTGCTGCGGGTGGGGTCGTACGCCAGCCGGGAGAGGGCTGTGCTGCGGGTGTTGTCGCACTCCAGCCGGGAGAGGGGAGGGCTGTGCTGCGGGTGGGGTCACACGCCAGCCGGGAGAGGGGAGGGCTGTGCTGCGGGTGGGGTCGCACACCAGCCGGGAGAGGGCTGTGCTGCGGGTGGGGTCGCACGCCAGCTGGGAGAAGGGAGGGCTGTGCTGCGGGTGCGGTCGCACGCCAGCCGGGAGAGGGCTGTGCTGCGGGTGTTGTCGCACACCAGCCGGGAGAGGGGAGGGCTGTGCTGCGGGTGGGGTCACACGCCAGCCGGGAGAGGGGAGGGCTGTGCTGCGGGTGGGGTCACACGCCAGCCGGGAGAGGGGAGGGCTGTGCTGCGGGTGGGGTCGCACACCAGCCAGGAGAGGGCTGTGCTGCGGGTGGGGTCGCACGCCAGCTGGGAGAAGGGAGGGCTGTGCTGCGGGTGGGGTCGCACGCCAGCCGGGAGAGGGGAGGGCTGTGCTGCGGGTGGGGTCGTACGCTAGCCGGGAGAGGGCTGTAAAGCGGGTGGGGTCGCACGTCAGCCGGGAGAGGGAAGGGCTGTGCTGCGGGTGGGGTCACACGCCAGCCGGGAGAGGGGAGGGCTGTGCTGCGGGTGGGGTCGCACACCAGCCGGGAGAGGGCTGTGCTGCGGGTGGGGTCGCACGCCAGTTAGGAGAAGGGAGGGCTGTGCTGCGGGTGGGGTCGCACGCCAGCCGGGAGAGGGGAGGTCTGTGCTGCGGGTGGGGTCGCACGCCAGCCGGGAGAGGGGAAGGCTGTGCTGCGGGTTGGGTCGCACGCCAGCTGGGAGAGGGGAGGGCTGTGCTGTGGGTGGGGTCGCACGCCAGCCGAGAGAGGGCTGTAAAGCGGGTGGGGTCGCACGCCAATCGGAAGAGGGGAGGGCTGTGCTGCGGGTGGGCTCGCACGCCAGCCGGGAGAGGGGAGGACTGTGCTGCGGGTGGGGTCGCACGCCAGCAGGGAGAGGGGAGGGCTGTGCTGCGGGTGGGGTCGCACGCCAGCCGGGAGAGGGCTGTGCTGCGGGTGGGGTCGCACGCCCGCCGGGAGAGGGGAGGGCTGTGCTGCGGGTGGGGTCACACGCCAGCCGGGAGAGGGGAGGGCTGTGCTGCGGGTGGGGTCGCACACCAGCCGGGAGAGGGCTGTGCTGCGGGTGGGGTCGCACGCCAGCTGGGAGAAGGGAGGGCTGTGCTGCGGGTGGGGTCGCACGCCAGCCGGGAGAGGGGAGGGCTGTGCTGCGGGTGGGGTCGCACGCCAGCCGGGAGAGGGGAGGGCTGTGCTGCGGGTGGGGTCGCACGCCAGCCGGGAGAGGGCTGTAAAGCGGGTGGGGTCGCACGCCAGTCGGGAGAGGGGAGGGCTGTGCTGCGGGTATGGTCGCACGCCAGCCGGGAGAGGGGAGGGCTGTGCTGCGGGTGGGGTCGTACGCCAGCCGGGAGAGGGGAGGGCTGTGCTGCGGGTGGGGTCGCACGCCAGCCGGGAGAGGGGAGGGCTGTGCTGCGGGTGGGGTCGCACGCCAGCCGGGAGAGGGCTGTAAAGCGGGTGGGGTCGCACGCCAGTCGGGAGAGGGGAGGGCTGTGCTGCGGGTATGGTCGCACGCCAGCCGGGAGAGGGGAGGGCTGTGCTGCGGGTGGGGTCGTACGCCAGCCGGGAGAGGGCTGTGCTGCGGGTGTTGTCGCACACCAGCTGGGAGAGGGGAGGGCTGTGCTGCGGGTGGGGTCATACGCCAGCTGGGAGAGGGGAGGGCTGTGCTGCGGGTGGGGTCGCACACCAGCCGGGAGAGGGCTAATGTGGGGTCGCACGCCAGCTGGGAGAAGGGAGGGCTGTGCTGCGGGTGGGGTCGCACGCCAGCCGGTGCTGCGGGTGTTGCCGCACGCCAGCCGGGAGAGGGGAGGGCTGTGCTGCGGGTGGGGTCGCACGCCAGCCGGGAGAGGGGAGGGCTGTGCTGCGGGTGGGGTCGCACGCCAGCTGGGATAAGGCTGTAAAGGGGGTGGGGTCGCACGCCAGTCAGGAGAGGGGAGGGCTGTGCTGCGGGTAGGGTCGCACGCCAGCCGGGAGAGGGCTGTGCTGCGGGTCGGGTCGCACGCCAGCAGGGAAAGGGGAGGGCTGTGCTGCGGGTGGGGTCGCACGCCAGCCGGGAGAGGGCTGTGCTGCGGGTGTTGTCGCACACCAGCCGGGAGAGGGGAGGGCTGTGCTGCGGGTGGGGTCACACGCCAGCCGGGAGAGGGGAAGGCTGTGCTGCGGGTGGGGTCGCACACCAGCCGGGAGAGGGCTGTGCTGCCGGTGGGGTCGCACGCCAGCTGGGAGAAGGGAGGGCTGTGCTGCGGGTGGGGTCGCACGCCAGCCGGGAGAGGGGAGGTCTGTGCTGCGGGTGGGGTCGCACGCCAGCCGGGAGAGGGGAGGGCTGTGCTGCGGGTGGGGTCGCACGCCAGCCGGGAGAGGGCTGTAAAGCGGGTGGGGTCGCACGCCAGTCGGGAGAGGGGAGGGATGTGCTGCGGGTACGGTCGCACGCCAGCCGGGAGAGGGCTATGCTGCTGGTTGTGTCGCACGCCAGCAGGGAGAGGGGAGGGCTGTGCTGCGGGTGGGGTCGCACGCCAGCCGGGAGAGGGCTGTGCTGCGGGTGTTGTCGCACACCAGCCGGGAGAGGGGAGGGCTGTGCTGCGGGTGGGGTCACACGCCAGCCGGGAGAGGGGAGGGCTGTGCTGCGGGTGGGGTCACACGCCAGCCGGGAGAGGGGAGGGCTGTGCTGCGGGTGGGGTCGCACACCAGCCAGGAGAGGGCTGTGCTGCGGGTGGGGTCGCACGCCAGCTGGGAGAAGGGAGGGCTGTGCTGCGGGTGGGGTCGTACGCCAGCCGGGAGAGGGCTGTGCTGCGGGTGTTGTCGCACTCCAGCCGGGAGAGGGGAGGGCTGTGCTGCGGGTGGGGTCACACGCCAGCCGGGAGAGGGGAGGGCTGTGCTGCGGGTGGGGTCGCACACCAGCCGGGAGAGGGCTGTGCTGCGGGTGGGGTCGCACGCCAGCTGGGAGAAGGGAGGGCTGTGCTGCGGGTGCGGTCGCACGCCAGCCGGGAGAGGGCTGTGCTGCGGGTGTTGTCGCACACCAGCCGGGAGAGGGGAGGGCTGTGCTGCGGGTGGGGTCACACGCCAGCCGGGAGAGGGGAGGGCTGTGCTGCGGGTGGGGTCACACGCCAGCCGGGAGAGGGGAGGGCTGTGCTGCGGGTGGGGTCGCACACCAGCCAGGAGAGGGCTGTGCTGCGGGTGGGGTCGCACGCCAGCTGGGAGAAGGGAGGGCTGTGCTGCGGGTGGGGTCGTATGCCAGCCGGGAGAGGGCTGTGCTGCGGGTGTTGTCGCACACCAGCCGGGAGAGGGGAGGGCTGTGCTGCGGGTGGGGTCACACGCCAGCCGGGAGAGGGGAGGGCTGTGCTGCGGGTGGGGTCGCACGCCAGCTAGGAGAGGGCTGTGCTGCGGGTGGGGTCGCACGCCAGCTGGGAGAAGGGAGGGCTGTGCTGCGGGTGGGGTCGCACGCCAGCCGGGAGAGGGGAGGGCTGTGCTGCGGGTGGGGTCGCACGCTAGCCGGGAGAGGGCTGTAAAGCGGGTGGGGTCGCACGCCAGTCGGGAGAGGGGAGGGCTGTGCTGCGGGTACGGTCGCACGCCAGCCGGGAGAGGGCTGTGCTGCGGGTCGGGTCGCACGCCAGCAGGGAGAGTGGAGGGCTGTGCTGCGGGTGGGGTCGCACGCCAGCCGGGAGAGGGCTGTGCTGCGGGTGTTGTTGCACACCAGCCGGGAGAGGGGAGGGCTGTGCTGCGGGTGGGGTCATACGCCAGCCGGGAGAGGGGAGGGCTGTGCTGCGGGTGTGGTCGCACACCAGCCAGGAGAGGGCTGTGCTACGGGTGGGGTCGCACGCCAGCTGGGAGAAGGGAGGGCTGTGCTGCGGGTGGGGTCGTACGCCAGCTGGGAGAAGGGAGGGCTGTGCTGCGGGTGGGGTCGCACGCCAGCCGGGAGAGGGGAGGGCTGTGCTGCGGGTGGGGTCGCACGCTAGCCGGGAGAGGGCTGTAAAGCGGGTGGGGTCGCACGCCAGTCGGGAGAGGGGAGGGCTGTGCTGCGGGTGGGGTCGCACGCCAGCCGGGAGAGGGCTGTGCTGCGGGTGTTGTCGCACACCAGCCGGGAGAGGGGAGGGCTGTGCTGCGGGTGGGGTCACACGCCAGCCGGGAGAGGGGAGGGCTGTGCTGCGGGTGGGGTCGCACACCAGCCAGGAGAGGGCTGTGCTACGGGTGGGGTCGCACGCCAGCTGGGAGAAGGGAGGGCTGTGCTGCGGGTGGGGTCGTACGCCAGCCGGGAGAGGGCTGTGCTGCGGGTGTTGTCGCACTCCAGCCGGGAGAGGGGAGGGCTGTGCTGCGGGTGGGGTCACACGCCAGCCGGGAGAGGGGAGGGCTGTGCTGCGGGTGGGGTCGCACACCAGCCGGGAGAGGGCTGTGCTGCGGGTGGGGTCGCACGCCAGCTGGGAGAAGGGAGGGCTGTGCTGCGGGTGGGGTCGCACGCCAGCCGGGAGAGGGGAGGTCTGTGCTGCGGGTGGGGTCGCACGCCAGCCGGGAGAGGGGAGGGCTGTGCTGCGGGTGGGGTCGAACGCCAGCCGGGAGAGGGGAGGGCTGTGCTGCGGGTGGGGTCGCACGCCAGCTGGGAGAGGGCTGTAAAGCGGGTGGGGTCGCACGCCAGTCGGGAGAGGGGAGGGCTGTGCTGCGGGTAGGGTCGCACGCCAGCCGGGAGAGGGCTGTGCTGCGGGTCGGGTGGCACGCCAGCAGGGAGAGGGGAGGGCTGTGCTGCGGGTGGGGTCGCATGCCAGCCGGGAGAGGGCTGTGCTGCGGGTGTTGTCGCACACCAGCCGGGAGAGGGGAGGGCTGTGCTGCGGGTGGGGTCACACGCTAGCCGGGAGAGGGGAGGGCTGTGCTGCGGGTGGGGTCGCACACCAGCCGGGAGAGGGCTGTGCTGCGGGTGGGGTCGCACGCCAGCTGGGAGAAGGGAGGGCTGTGCTGCGGGTGGGGTCGCACGCCAGCCGGGAGAGGGGAGGTCTGTGCTGCGGGTGGGGTCGCACGCCAGCCGGGAGAGGGGAGGGCTGTGTTCGGGTGGGGTCGCACGCCAGCCGGGAGAGGGGAGGGCTGTGCTGCGGGTGGGTTCGCACGCCAGCCGGGAGAGGGGAGGGCTGTGCTGCGGGTGGGGTCGGACGCCAGCCTGGAGGAGGGAGGGCTGTGTTGTGGGTGGGGTCGCACGCCAGCCGGGAGAGGGCTGTGCTGTGGGTCGGGTCGCATGCCAGTCGGGAGAGGGGAGGGTTGTGCTGCGGGTGGGGTCACATGCCAGCCGGGAGAGGGCTGTGCTGCGGGTGGGGTCGCACGCCAGCTGGGAGAGGGCTGTGCTGCGAGTGGGGTCGCACGCCAGCCGGGAGAGGGGAGGGCTGTGCTGCGGGTGGGGTCGCACGCCAGCCGGGAGAGGGGAGGGCTGTGCTGCGGGTGGGGTCGCACGCCAGCCGGGAGAGGGGAGGGCTGTGCTGCGGGTGGGGTCGCACGCCAGCCGGGAGAGGGCTGTGCTGCGGGTGGGGTCGCACGCCAGCCGGGAGAGGGCTGTGCTACAGGTGGGGTCGCACGCCCGCCGGGAAAGGGGAGGGCTGTGCTGCGGGTAGGGTCGCACGCCAGCCAGGAGAGGGCTGTGCTGTGGGTGGGGTCGCACTCCCGCCGGGAGAGGGGAGGGCTGTGCTGCGGGTGGGTTCGCAGGCCAGCCAGGGGAGGGCTGTGCTGCGGGTGGGGTCGCACGCCAGCTGGGAGAGGGCTGTGCTGCGGGTGGGGTCGCACGCCCGCCGGGAGTGGGGAGGGCTGTGCTGCGGGTGGGGTCGCACGCGAGCCCGGAGAGGGCTGTGCTGCGGGTGGGGTCGCACGCCCGCCGTGAGAGGGGAGGGCTGTGCTGCGGGTGGGGTCGCACGCCAGCCGGGAGAGGGCTGTGCTGTGGGTGGGGTCGCACTCCCGCCGGGAGAGGGGAGGGCTGTGCTGCGGGTGGGGTCGCAGGCCAGCCGGGGGAGGGCTGTGCTGCGGGTGGGGTCGCACGCCAGCCGGGAGAGGGCTGTGCTGCGGGTGGGGTCGCACGCCCGCCGGGAGTGGGGAGGGCTGTGCTGCGGGTGGGGTCGCACGCCAGCCGGGAGAGGGCTGTGCTGCGGGTGGGGTCGCACGCCCGCCGTGAGAGGGGAGGGCTGTGCTGCGGGTGGGGTCGCACGCCAGCCGGGAAAGGGCTGTGCTGCGGGTGGGGTCGCACTCCCGCCGGGAGAGGGGAGGGCTGTGCTGCGGGTGGGGTCGCACGCCAGCCGGGGGAGGGCTGTGCTGCGAGTGGGGTCGCACGCCAGCCCGGAGAGGGCTGTGCTGCGGGTGGGGTCGCACGCCCGCCGGGAGAGGGCTGTGCTGCGGGTGGGGTCGCATGCCTGCCGGGAGAGGGGAGGGCTGTGCTGCGGGTGGGGTCCCATGCCAGCCGGGAGAGGGCTGTCCTGCGGGTGGGGTCGCACGCCAGCCGGGAGAGGGGAGGGCTGTGCTGCGGGTGGGGTCGCACGCCAGCCGGGAGAGGGGAGGGCTGTGCTGCGGGTTGGATCGCACGCCAGCTGGGAGAGGGGAGGGCTGTGCTGCGGGTGGGGTCGCACGCCAGCCGGGAGAGGGGAGGGCTGTGCTGCGGGTTGGATCGCACGCCAGCCGGGAGAGGGGAGGGCTGTGCTGCGGGTGGGGTGGCGCGCCCGCCGGGAGAGGGGAGGGCCGCGCCCGCGGGTGGGGTGAGAGAGGCAAGAAGTGCTATGGTGAGTGAGACAAGAAGTGCTATGGTGAGTGAGACAAGAATTGCTATGTTGAGAGAGACAAGAAGTGTTATGGTGAGTGGGACAAGAATTGCTATGGTGAGAGAGACATGAAGTGCTATGGTGAGTGAGACAAGAAGTGCTATGGTGAGTGAGACAAGAAGTGCTATGGTGAGTTAGACAAGAAGTGCTATGGTGAGTGAGACAAGAAGTGCTATGGTGAGAGAGACAAGAAGTGCTATGGTGAGAGAGGCAAGAAGTGCTATGGTGAGTGAGACAAGAAGTGCTATGGTGAGTGAGAGAAGAAGTGCTATGGTGAGTGAGACAAGTGTTGAACGAGAGAATTGAATAATGAGCCAAGAGGCTCTTTAGTACAAACAATGAGCAAGAGAGAGATGAGAGGGAAGCTTACCCTATTGGCCAATATGTTGACCAATGGGTGAGCTTGCTTGTGGCCCAAGCAACCATAAATGTGTGTTGGTTGGGATTGGTTGAGTTAAGGACCAATCCCAACCAACCACAAAATGTGGTTGGATGGTACACTAAACAACCCCCCAATTTATAAATGTGCTACACATATAATTCTAGCCTATGTATGTTGTATAAAATATGAAATTACAACACAACCCCCCAACATGCATAAGGCTAGAAGGCTAGAATCAAGAGGCGGGAGGAAGAGGCCAAGAAGATGAAGTAGTGAAGAGTGAGCCGCATGAGGAAGAGTTTTTGTGAAGATGTCGGCAAGGTTGGTCGTCGAGTCAATCTTGTCGAGCCGAAGGTACCCCGCCTGAACAAGATCGCGAATGAAGAAATGACGGAGCTCAATGTGCTTGGAGCGCCCGTGAAACACAGCATCCTCAGTGAGGTGAATGGTACTGGCATGGTCACACCAGATGGTGGGACAGCGTTGGGGGGCACCAAGTTCCTCAAGAAGGAAGGTGAGCCAGCGAGCCTCTTGCGCAGCCATGTTAGCGGCATACAACTCCGCCTCGAAGGAGGAGAGGGCGATAGCCGAGGAGTGGGTGGAGCGCCAGCTGATAAGGCTGCTGCCAAGAGAGAAGCCATAGCCCTGGGAGGAGCGACGATCCGGCCAAGAATCAGCTGACGAGGAGTCACTTCAGATATCTGCTCAAGCCAAGTAGCATTCACACTCACTCAGAAAATCCAAACCATGCCAAACACAGATTCTTGCACACACCACGCATGCAACGCACGAACATATGATGGGAGGCAGACAGACGTGAATGCAAATGATAGCATCACATAACAAACTCCCTCTCTGGCTGCCTACCATCACCTCACATGCCTCAGCTCATGCATGCATAGTCAATGCACACTCATCCCAGCAAGTTTCATGCACTTCCAGTGCTCAAGTTCAGCCAGGCGCTTGGTGAGAATGTCAGCCGCCTGCTGATGGGTCTTCACAATCTCCAGCCGCACCTCCTTGTCCAGGAGCCTCCTCGTCCAATGCCACTTTGGCCTGATGTGCTTTGTCAGGCCATGAAGACAAGCATTCTTTGCAAGCTTCACAGCCGACTCATTGTCACAAAAAAATCACAGTCGGCTCCTTCTGGCACACTCCGATCTCCTCCAACAAACGCCTCAGCCACACCACCTCCTTAGCCCCATGATGCAGAGCCATGTACTCTGTCTCACACGAGGACAGCCCCACCTCATTCTGCTTCTTGCTGCGCCAGCTTACTGCACCACCTCCAAACAGGCACACATAGCCTCCAATGCTGGTGCCATCCGCCTTCACAGAGTTGAAGCTGGCATCGGTGTAGCAAGTCAAGAGCATCTCCCCCTTGCCCAAATCAGCAGCACCCCGTTGCTGCCTTTGCCTCACAGCACTGTACTCCAAACCCATAGATGCTATAGCACTCACATAGCGGACCAACCTCTTGGCCGCTTCTAGCTGCTGATGACTGGGGTGTGAGATCACAGTTGCAAGCCTGGAAGTAGCAAATGCAATGCCAGGCCGTGTGTGGTTCGCCGCATAGTTGAGTGCCCCAACCATGGAATGGAACAGCTTCCTGTCGCTCTCACCCACCACCTCCTCATCAGCACAGGTCTCCACAGTGAAACCTGAAGGTAGTGGGGTGGCTGGATTTCCTCCATCTTGCAGCCCATACTTCTCAGCCAGCCCCTCACAGTACTTCCTCTGGTGCAACCTCAACACTCCCTTGTCAAGGTCTCTCTCCACATGCATCCCAAGGTAATACTTGACATCTCCCATCTTCGAGCACTTGAAATGCATCTCCAGCATTTCCTCCACACGCTCAATCATTGCAAACGACTCAGAGAAGAGAAGGATGTCATCCACATACACCAGGAGCATGAGGAACTGCTCCTTCTCTTGCAGCAGGAACAAGCTGTGATCACACTCGCTCTTCTTGAAACCCCCAGCCAGCAGTGTCTCCTCCAACTTATGGTACCATGCGCGAGGAGCCTGCTTCAGGCCATAGATGGCCTTCTTGAGCCTGCACACCTTGCCACTCCCATCATCCAACCCCTCAGGCTCCAGCATGTATAGTTCCTCTAGGATGATCACAACCTTCCCAACTGAGCCCACATCACCTTCACTCCCTTTCACATCCTCAACCATGAGGAACATCCCAGGGTCGGCTTTACCGTGTGCACCATCACCTTGTGCACCTGAACCTTGCACAGCGCCACCTCGTGCACGTTCACCACTTGGCGGCTTCATGCCTGGGGGTGCCCATCCCTCAGGCCGACTGAAACACTTGAACCACGGGTGTCCAGCCTTCTTGCAGTACCAGCACGCTCCCTCCATTCGGGTACTCCCCCTGCCACCAGAGCTCCCATGCCCCTCGTTATAGTCACCTCGGCCTCTCCCTCTGCCAAAGCCTCTCCCACGGCCTCGGCCTCTCCCTCCCCCTCTTCCTCTGCTGCCTCCTGCAGCTCCATACCCCTTAGCAGTTTTGTTGGCAGCACCACCACCCGTGTGGCGCCTGCGGAAGTCCTCCTGCAGAATCTGCTGCCGTAGCCACTCAGGTGTCCACTGGTCCTGCTGAGTGTTGAGGGTGGGGATGAGGTTGTCCCACGAGTTGTCGAGCACCGAGATGATCTTGGTGCACTGCTGCATCTGCGACACATTGCTGCCCGCTGCTGCCATCCTCGCATAGGTGTCCCTGATCTTGTCAAGGACCGGCTTCACATCATCGCCCGGTCACATGGAGAGGGCAGCCAACTCCTTCTCCAGCACAATCACCATCGGCAGCGTGTTGGGCTGAATCACGTCGCGCAGTAGCTTCCACGCCTTTGGTCCGGAATCATCCAACTCCACCAAATCCTTGATGTGTTGGAACATATCGTTGTTGACCGATTGAAGGATTAGGTCGTACAGCACCGCACTCTTCTCAATCCACCGATCGCGGGCATCTCCTTCCTCCGGCATCTTCTCTTCACCCATTGCAAGTTTCAGCAGCTTGTAGCGCTTGAATGCACTTCGCATCCGCCCGCTCCATTCCTCATAGTTTGAGCCATCCAATGCCTCGATCTTGGATGGTGGTGGCTCATTTCTCTTCTCAGCCGCATCTCCACTCCCTTGAGTCATTTCCTCTGCTCCCAAACCCAGGTTCCAGCTCCCCCTTTGCTGTCCACACCGAAGTCCCACTCAATTTCCACAAGTGTCGGCGCCAACGAAATTTCGGCAGAGTTTCCCCTTAGCGGAAGTCACATGCAACCTCCAGAACTCCACTTAGGCACGCCCACTGGCCATGGTGGGTCTAGGAGGGTCTTCACACTTCAGTAGATTCTCCACAAAGTCCTTAATCAGCTCTGATACCACTTGTTAGAGACTAAGGACGGAGCCTATGAAGATTAAGGGCCGAAATATCTCAAAATCGTCAACAATAATTCTGGACAGAAACGTTCTCTTCACAAGAAACGTCGTCGACGGAAGGTCCACAGTTGGAATTCTCTCAAACTCGAGTATGTTGTAGCTCTTGACCGTGGCTATCTTTCCCAATTTGATTAGTATCAAAATATGGATTATAGCTTGCGTTATGAATTTCGGAGCACTAGGGGGTATGCTGCCATAGAAACTTAACTCAATAACAAAGTTGTCTCACAAGTTCACACAAGAAAGTTGAAGTAGCAATAACCCAGGTAGGAGAGGATGAGGAGGACGAGATGGAAGGTCCCAAGAGAGTCCTCAACCAAGGAAACCCCATACCACACAATTCCCCTCTCTATGGGCACCCCAACTTTGACATTTGTCACTTTCCCAACTCATGCCATCCACCTCACCCAACTTGGCCACACTTGCCAGCCTGGTTTGGCTTCTCCCAACCACTTGGCATCAATCTACAGTAGAGTGACGAATTTCCCCAACCCCAAAATTCTATACCCCATATTGAGTCACTCCACAAATTCCCATAGTCGTCGCATCACAATCATAACTTCGAACGATCATATCTTTATCGTTCTTGTTCCGATCGCAACGGTTCTTGGTTCGTCGGAAAGCTCTTGAGCAGAGGAGTCAATTCAGATATCTGCTCAAGCCAAGTAGCATTCACACATACTCAGAAAATCCAAACCATGCCAAACACAGATTCTTGCACACACCACGCATGCAACGCACGAACATATGATGGGAGGCAGACAGACGTGAATGCAAATTATAGCATCACATAACAGACCCTTGTAAGACACAGGCATCCAAGTGTGGCAAGAATTCAAAATGCGTTGCGAAGAACGGGCAGGGGATCTGCGAGTGTGACGCCGGCTACACCAAGTGGAACGGCCAGTGCACTAGTGAGCTGAACAGGGGCTCTGTCACAATTACTGGTGAACACGAGGTCAAGATGTCAAAAGGTCAAGAAATTAAGAGTTGGGAGGTAAAGAGGTTTGGAGGTCAAGAGGTTAGGAGGTGAAGAGGGCAAGAGGTCAAGAGAGAGTCCAGACTCCACAGGCAGTGCACGGAAGCGCAGTGCACGGAAGCGCAGTGCGGCATGTCGGTCCTGGTTGAGGGCTGGTGGTGGTTCTGTGGGATCATCTTGCCCCACCTCCTCCCATGCCACTCGTTCTGTTTTCCCAGCTGCCCAACTCACCTGCATGCTCTTTTCCCTCTCCCCCACCCCTCACCTCCCTCCCACGCCAGATATGTGAAGGTATGCCTTCTCTGCTAATGCCCACTGCAAGGTGGTGGGAGGAAAAGTGGCATGCAAGTGCATTGCGGGGTTCCGTATGAAGAACAACAAGTGCACATGTAAGAGAGAGGGTGGGATGTATGCTCTGCTTTCAGTCTCGCTGTCTCACATGCCAGCCACTGTCTAATTGTCCTCTACCATCTTCTGCCATTTCTTACTTCTTATGCTGTGGCCTGCCCTCCATTTGCCCCCTCTTTTTCCAACTACGATTGATAATGACCTCTATGAAGGGGTTGGTGGACAAGTGAAGAACAGGGAGGTGCTTGCTGGCAACACCAGAGGGACAACAGTTTC